CTGGGTGGATCGTATCTTCCCGCCCCCACGCCATCCCCCTCAGCCTGGCTTCACCTAGGCTGCTGTGAAAAGGTGGTGGTTTCCATGGATATTGTCTCCCTCTGGCGCCACGCCCTTTTTTGTATAACTCCGTTCCCTAGAGTGGATTGTTTTTGGCACACAGCTCTGTAAACTCATCCAACAATTAAAAAGGGGGAAGGGTGGAACAAAAAGGAGACAGATAGTAACTGTGGGGTGAGTGACACACAAAGGGCCTCTGGGATGTGTGGGGTCCCCTGTCAGTGCCCGGCCAGCAGCAGGACAGCATCTGAAGTGCAGAGAAGCCACATAACCAGCTGGCCGGGCGAACTGCTTGTGGAGCGCTGAGGATTCCGAATGTGTTTCCTTCCACTGGAGCTGTGTTCTTGCCCCATTTTTTCTTCTCCCTCAGAGTTCTAAAGGGCCCCATTTGCCGAGCCAGCAGAGCCATCTCCAGAGGCCACCTGAAGCCATGAGATGCCAGCATGGGCCATTTGGAATATTTGCTGCCCTTGTTTTGGTTAATTGTGTATGTGTTTGCTCTGTTTGTGTACCTACCATCAAATACCTACTGCGTTGGGCGTACCCGTCGTAGGCTGTGTGAGATCACAGATGAAAAATGCAGTGAAAAACACTTTCGTGCCACAACACATCATGTAGGATTTCTGTATTAAGATGTGGATTTTTTTATTGTGTTTTTTTTTCCTTTTCCATACAGCCCTGGAGTTGGGCAATGTGCACGTCTGTGTTTCTGTTTTCACTCCGGGTGGTTTATGAAATCGACTCATTAGGGCTCTGTCCTCTCCCCACCCCCGGCCTCATCTTCCATCCCCTTGTCCTCTCCACGTGGATGTTTTCCCACCACCCCCTCCCAGTGTCTTCCCAACTTTGGGGAGGTGATGGGTGCCCCCCACTCACATTCACCCAAGTGAAAATCAGGGGTTCTTGAGGCCCTGCTTCTTAATCCTGAGGCAGATGCAGTAGGAGGTCCCTGTGTGGGGGAGGCAGCATAAATCTGTCCCCCGACTCCCACCCCAGGATAAATAAAGCCCCTTAGCTTGCCCCTTGTCTGGAGAGAATAAATGGAAGTTGTCTCATCCCCACAAGACCTCCTGACTTAGAGCGGCCCGCTCCTGGGTGGCTTTCTTGTCCCCGTCGTGTCAGATGACAGGTAGCGATGGGTGGCTCAGCCCCTCCCCCCTCCATGCCCTCAGCCTGGACCCCATTTACCAGGTGGGTTCAGGGGTTCTCCTGCTCACCAGGTGCGTCACGGTAGGCCTCACCTTCCTGCGCTTAGAGCCCAGCTAGAAGGCAGCACCTGAGCGTGCCTCTGCCTTCCCTCTGGCTGTGGTCTCAGGTGCTTTCTGGGATTTGATGGAGACCTGTTTGGAGGGCAGAACTGAGATTCAGGAGGGGCAATAGCATTAGGTGTGGGTGGGTGCTGAGATTCTGGGTGGGGACGAAGAGGAACTTTGAAGTGAGTTGGGCCTCGGAACCCGGAGCCCGTCAGAGCTGGCAGCCTAGCCCTGGCTGCAGGACTTGTGAGCTGTGACCTTTGGCCCTTCCTAACCTGTCGTATTTCTGTGCCTGCCCTTCCTAACCTGTCCACAGGGACCATAATCCTTCCTCCCCTGTATCGTAAAGATTCGGTGCCATCACGTGTGTACAGCACTTAGCATGGTGCTTGGAGAATAGGAGACATCCAGTTAGCTCTCACACAGGCCTATTGGCAGAGGGTGAAAACCACTCATCCCGGGTGCCCTCTAGCCTTAGCATGCTCCCTGGCACACAGTAGGTGCCTGGTCAACTCTTATTGGAATTCGGAGGAGGATCAAGTAACCCAGCAGTTCCCTTGAACCTGAGGGCTATTAATTCCTGGTGCTTGTGGAGGAGGGGAGAGACCAAGACGCAGGTTGTTCGGGGATTAGGGGAACTAAACAGAATGGAGCGTGAAAGTAACCAGCCAAGTATTTTGTCCTTGGAGAGGGATGGAGCTGCCCAGGCCCATCTGATTCTGACGTGAAATCGGGGACCACTAGTTCAGTTCCGTAAACGCTCACACTGCCCACTGTGGGCCAGCTGCTGTGCTAAATGCTGGGGACGCACAGATAATTAGGACCTTGTCTCTGCCCTTGAGGAGTGAAAAATCCAGTGGTGGAGACAGACTTGTGAACAAATGACTTTAGTCTGGTACGGATTTAAACGCCGCAGTGAAGGATGCATGAGGAGCAGGGTAGAGGGGCCTGTGGGCCTGCTTGGGGTAGATTCTGGAAGGTGACCTTGAAGAGATGTGGAAGAAGAGGGCGATCGAGACCATTTCTGGAGCACTGTTAACACCTTTCATGTCTTGTTGTTGCTCACCCGCCCCAGCTGCTAGGTAGGAGGGCAGAAGGCGCTATCTCCATTTGACCAGTGAGGACACGGGGCCCTGGGGAGATGAGACAGCTTGTCCGTGGGCTCACGGCGAGTCGAGTGGCAGAACTGGGAGTCAGAACTGGGAACATGTCTTCTGATTCTCAGCCCAGTGTTATTTCTGTAACTACACATGGCTCTCACGCCTTCACCCAGAGCTGCTGGCCAGAGAGCTCCATCCTCTGGGCTCAACACCTCCTGACCAGGATTCCTGCCGCTGCCACGGCGCCCGGGGCCTGTGCCGTGGGAGGGCCCTGTCCATGGCAGGCCCCGGGGCCTGTGCCCTGGTTTGGTAAATGGGTCAGGCCACCTGGTTGGGGACAGTCCCTGAGCGAGGCCACACCCTGGCAGGGCTGAAGGATGGCAGGAATGGGGAAGACTGAAGAAGAGGAGGAGGAGGAGGAGGAGGAGGAGGCCTGGCCACACCCTGGATTCAGTGGTTCTTGCTGCCAAAGCTGAGAGGCTCCGTCTGCCCTGGACATGCCTCTCCCTCGGCTGGAGGAGGCCAGACAAGGGCCTCACTGGGACCCGGAACACCCTCTTCCCCTGTGACGAGAGTCCCCTTCAGAGCCAGGACATAAGACCCTGGTATCGTTCATGTTCACCCTTCATTGTGGTCAGACTCCAGTCTCTCGAGTTGCTTGCCAGGAGTCAGGGAGGTGGGAGCGTTTGTCTTGACCTTTTGTCTGGGGAAATGTGTATGCCTGGGAAGGGGGAGTGTCGGGCCCTGGATGAGATGCCGGCTCTCAGGTGGGGCAGGGGTCATTCCGATGGGCATTGGAGGAGAGCCCCCCCAGCAGAAGAGTGTTCTGAGGGTGGGGAGCGGTAGGTGGTCCCAGCCACCCCTTCCTCTATCTCAGAGGTGCTTGGCTGGTGGATGGGCTGCCCAGGGGTTCGGTGGATTCTAGACCAACAAGCAGGGGAGTGTCACAGTCCAGAGCAGTGAGTCTCCCAGTGGCCCTGAAGTTCCCATTAAAGTGTTTTTTCCTTTTTTTTAAAGAAAAAATATTCCCAAACTGGAAAACAAAGGAAATCCACTTCCCCCAAATCACACGAAACTCACATTAGGGGCCTGGCGGGAATCCATGGGAACCAGGAAACCTGCTGTTAACCCTGTCTGCTGCTGAAGGGTGGGGTGGGAGCTGGGCTGATCGAAGCCCAGGACCACTGTCACTGGCCCTGCCTGATGGCTTCCCCCAGGGAGCGGGTCTCGGTGGCATTGCCCCAGAGCCGATGTGGGGTACAGCTGACACTGGAAACTCTTGCCTTCAAAGCGCCAACTCCCCCTTCCATGGATGACCCAACCTTGGGAGGCAGGAGAGGAGGGCTTCGTGCACTCCAGGGAGGTGCTGGGGTATCCTAGGGCTGGGCCAAGTTGCAGAACCTGCTGGGCAGCTGCCCACACCATGCCACACTGTAGAGTCAGGGCCGAGCCCACTCACACGCTTTGGGAACACACAGGCGCTGTGGATGCCGCAATCCCCCAGCCAAGGGGGGAAGGAAAGGACCGGAATTCCAGCCACCACCCTCCCTGATGCCAGCCCCTTATGCAGGGTGGGTGTGGGAGCAGACAGAGAGCCCCTGCACCCCACCGTCACACCCATGCAGCTAGACCTCCAGGTCTGGGAGGCTGTGCACTGAGGTCAGTAGTGTGTTTGTGTTTGCACGCACATGGGCTAATTTTTCTAAAAAGGCTGAAAATATTTACAGGTTTGAAGTTGAAACGCAAACAGGAAAAGCCCTTTAAAAAGTGAGTGTAGTGGATATTCAAAACAGGAATCACCATGGAAACACCACAATATTTGCTTAAATTGACACAAAGGTTGCCGGTAGCAGGGCACCAACTTTCTTTGGCCACTTTTTTTTGGCCCACCGACACCTATAACAAATGAATCTCAACAGCCCCCTTTCAGGGTATGTGCACACACTCTCGTCTCTTTTTTATGGGGTGCAATGGCAGAGCACCAGAGGAGAGGAGGAAAGGAAAAGAGAAGAAGCCAAAGTCACCATCCTGGGTAGCTGCAGAGACACCTGTGGATTCCATTTTTAGAGACTCCCATAAGGCCATGGGGGGTGAGGGGCGGTCACAGGAGCAGCTGGGAGCTGACCAAGGGAAAGTCTGGAGGGAGCGGGAGGCTGGGGAGCCCCAGGGTTGGTTCAGTTGCGTAGGTCTGATCTGGTTTCCAGTGTTGGCTTGATCCACTGTCAGGCCGACCTTTCACCCCTGGTGCCGACTACGAAGCCTTGGGTGTGATCACTCTCTTGTTACCTGGGGTGGCAGCTGATTGGTCTATTATTGTTTCTACGTTTGATTCTTTTGTTAGGAGCAACAGCTGCGTGGTAATTGGCTAATAGTTGTGCAAAGGGTACATTGGTCATAGGGTCACGCATGGCACGCACCACAGCACTGCCGTCTGCCGGCTGGCAGGCGGGTCCGAGAATCTCTTACCTTGCTGGCTGGTTACTGCACAAGGTGTCAGAACCGTACCTTCCATTGCCCTTCTCTCTGGAGTAGCTTTGTGGGTCTCAACTGTAGCCTAATAACCCGTTTTCCTTTCTCATTTTGGTAGGCAAACAGGCGTTGCTGACTGAAGGCAAAGGCCCTCGCCACCCCATCCGCCCTTGCAGCTGTCACGGCCATCAGCCCCTCCCGTAGAAGGGGGTCCTGCAGCTCCAGTGGTGTGCTTTGGAATGGACTTCAGACCCCAGCCTCTTGGGGTGCAAAGGTAGCTGTTCCAGATTCCCAATACGTCACTGGGAAGTGGGGGTTGGCGGGTTCCTCCTTAGGGGAGGCACTGCCCAGGCCTTCCTCTGGATGGTGGTAGCTCAGGCACCCGAGGTGACAGTGAGAAAAATGCAGGCTTGAGAAAAGAGCCCTGGCCAAGGAGCAGGACCTGCTGGCCTTTGCTTCGCCGTTGACTCCCTGCTTTCTCCCTTTGGGATCACGGTTCCCCGCCCATAAAATAAAGAGATTGGAATAACTGACCTTTAAGAATCCTGCCAGCATTACCGCTCACTATATGACACTGAAACGTGCCCACAGTGTGCAGGTACCCCAGATGAGGCCTGTGCCCTAGCAGACACCACCCCTGGAGCTAAGCAACAGGTCATTTCTCAGCGCCATCTCTGTGAATGGTAGGTCCAGCCTCTCTGCACATCCAGAGGCTGCTGCCCCGCTTGGAGCTCATGTGTACTTGTTGGGGCTCTGTCAGGTGGGCCTCCAGCCCAGGTAGGACCCACCTTAGAGGAGAAGCCACAGGTGTCTTTTAATCCAGGCTCGGAAATCACCCCTTATCTAAGGCAGGTCACATATGCCAGGGCTGAGTAGTCCAAGGGGCTGGTAATGTCAGGTATTTACCTGCAGGTGTCAAATGTGGTTTTTGGGGTAGGGGGTTAACACATGGCAGGCGACTTATCACATATTGGTCATTGTTCAGTGTTCTCTTAAGATCCCAAGGGAACCAGCCTAGAGGAGTTGGGTGTTGGTAGAGTTGATGGGCAGTGTCTTAGGGCAGGGGTTGAGCTGAAGGCCTAGAGACTGGCTGGGACGTCAAGGCTGGGGGCCACCCCTCCGGCGTGTGCCAGACAGGAGTCAGTGGCCCTGGGTCACCCTCCTGCCCCCTCCCTCTCCATGGGCGCCATGGGCAGGTGTGTCCTGCCCCTCCCTTCATGGCCAGCCTCTGCAACTCTGGACTTTGAACTTGCAGGTAGAAAGCACTTGCAGAGATGGGCGCCTTGGTGCCCCCTGGGGTTTGAGAGTTCCCCAAAGCTGTAGGCCAGCTTCATTTCAGGCCATGCCACCTCGGGGACGAGCAGAAGCCTTAGACACAGCCCCTGAATTTGCAAATCAGATGTAAATGTGGCCTTTGGTTGCTGTTGTGGAGTATCCGTGTAGCTAAGACCCTTTTTTCCTGGTGTCCAGAACGCGATCACGCTCCAGGAGCGGGTCTGTCCATGCTTGAGCTGTGCCGATGTTGTCTCTGATGGTGGTGGGGCTGTGGAGACCGCTGGTAGCACAGCTGTCTGGCCGGGTTTCGGCACCAGCACCTGCAGTCCCCATGCCTTCCTGGGTTTTTCTTGCCGCCTCTGCTTCCTCGAGGAGCATGGGTCCTGGGATGGCAGGCCCACGGGTCTTCGAGCTTCTGGATGAGGGGCTCCCCAGCCCCGCTGTGTCCTGCACGTGAGCAGGTTGCCAAAGTGCCCGTGGCTCTCCCACCGAGGGGGGACGCTTACCTGTTCTGTTCTCAGTGGCAGGCTTTTTGTTTTCTTTGTTCCCTTGGCAAAACATGCCCATTAGTTTTTCCCTTTCCGAAGTTTCCACTCAGTGCTGACTCCCAGGGGCTGTGCCAGCTGGGATTTGCACCCGGCACAGGGTTTGGGCCCCACAAGTCCTGTGGGACTCCTGCATCCTGGCGTTAGCCGGCTTCATAATGAAGCTTGGGAACGCTTGAGGGCTCCGAAAGGGACTGTCGTGGCTGAGCCCCTCCTTGCTCACCTAGCCCTCTCCAGGCACTGGGTCTGGCCACAGGCTGGGGTCCTCTGTGGCAAGGGTGACCCATGGTCTCAGAGGTATCCTGCTTCATGACATCAGAGTGTGGGCGAGGGGGCGAGTCTGTGCCTGGTCCATAGGCCTGATCCTGTCTAGCTCAGATTCTCCCTTTCTGGCTCCGCCGTGGAAGATCTGGTTATATGTATTCTTCAGTTACGGAGGGCCTAGGGTTGGAGGGCCTGGGGTCTGCCGGTCACAGGGGACAGAGTGGACAAGACAGCCCTGGCTGTCATGGAGTTCTGGGTGGGCAAGCAGACAATAAACAAACCCACAAAAGAACAAGGAAACCATTAGTGCAGAATGGACATAGGATGAGGTGGTGGGAGGTTACTGGGCAGTCAGTGGAGACCTCTTTGAGGAGGTGACAGCGGAGATCAAAGGATAGGAAGCAGACAACCATCCAAAGAGCAGGTGGAAGAACATTCCACAGAGAGCGCAGCTGGTCTAGAGGTCCTGAGGTGGGATGAGCTCAGTACATTTGGTGAGCAGGAAGAAGGTACCAGTGGCTGGCAGGGGGACAGGGCTGGGGCCGGGGTGCATAGGGCTTAGGGTGACAAGAAGCCACTGGAGGGTTTTAAGCAGGGAGGTAAAGTGATCTGATTTTTGTTTTAAAAAGATGGCTGGGGCTGCTGTGGGGAGAACGGATCGGATGATGACAAGGGGAGACACAGGAGGCCAGAGGGGAGGTGCTGCACTGGAGTGAGTGGCTGAGAAGAGAAAGTGGAAATGGAGAGAAGGGGGCAGAGCCCTCCTGTGTTTAGAGGGAGAGTTAATAGGACTTGCTGATGGACTGACAGGGTAAAGGAAAGACCCCAGGGTGACTCCAGCATTCCCGGCCCCCTGACGTGTGGCCCTTCGTCTCTCTCTCATGGCCCGATCTCAACACCAAAGCCTGTTTTGTGCCTTTGCTCCACGGGTTCTGTGCGGGGCCTGAGGTTGGCCTAGAAGCTCCCATAGTTCCTCTCACTGTGGCTTTACATGTGATCTGTGTTCTCAAGGGCTAAGCTTCTGTGTACCTTCCCTGTGTGCCCGGACATACAGAACTGAGCAATGGGTTTCTCTAAGAGCTCCTCATTTCCATGGGTCCAACATAACCTCCAGCCCCAGCTTATGGGCAGGGACCCTAGCAGTCTTTCCACGTGGAAAGTCTTTGTACAATGCAGGGTGCGAATTGCCATAGGTACCCCGTCAGATTTGACCTGGGCCACCGTCCCTTTTTCCAGAGCCTCTGACACGAGGCTCCATTCTCTTGGGTCCTGGTATCTTCTGCTTAGGCCAGAATGGGGCAGACAATCCCAGTTATACTAGAACTAGATCCCTGGCCCCCCTGGGTAGGCACTGCACAACCCAAACAGCAAGCCAGAGTCCCGGCTACAGCAAGCGTGAAGCTGTCACTGCCGGTTGCGAGGGCCCCAGTGAGTACTTGCCCATGCTGGCAGCATATTCCCAGCCATATGGGCCAGCTCAGCCCTCCAGGAAAGCTCTGGAGGCCTGACCCCAGGGGGAGTGAGAGGAGGGAGCAGGCTGGTGACGTCTTGTGTGTGTGCGGGGGGTGACAGGGATGTCCCAAGCGTGCACCTGGTGCCTCCGCTTGACTCCAAGGAGGGGGCAGCCAGTCTTCCTGGGTGTGTCTGCTGGCTGGCATCAAAACAAGGGGCTGAGCCCTGGGGGAGGGTGTGTCTGGGTGGGCAGGCGTGTGTCTGTGCATGCGTGGGAGGTTCTTCGGCTGCTGCCTCCTTGGCCTGCACTAGATCGTGGCCTTCGCTCATAACTGGACTGGACAGTTCTAACTTCGTCCTCCAGGGCTTTGATCTGATGTGGGGCTGGCTCCTCCAGAGCACACAGCCGGGGTGGGGGTGTGGAGGGGAGGGCACAGGAAGGGGAGGTGCTGGCTGAGGGGAGTGGGGGACCAAGTCCTCCCCACCCCTGGGTGACACCCTGCTTGGGAGGATGAGTAGGCTCCAAGGTCACAGCCCCTTTGGGCCGGGCGGAAATGTGATGGGGAGATGGTTTGGGAAGAGTGATTACACCGCCTGGTTTCTAATCTGTAAGAATTCTGCTTGATGTTGCCGACATCCCCGCCCTGGGCCTCCGTCTTCAGTTCTCCCTGGTGCCTTCCGCCTTCTTAGCAGAGTCGGGAAGCCCCTGGGTTCCACCAGGCACAGACCCAAGGAGAGAGGAGTTGGGAGGGGCTGGCAGCACCTGCCCTGCCTGGAGCTACCCAGGGGCCTTTCCTTGTTTGGTGACTTGGTCGTCCCAAAGGGGACAGCGGCCCATGGCTCTGGGAGGGTTAATGTCTTGTGAACAAAGGGAGAGGCACGTCTGCCCGGCTTCCATCCCCATGACCTTGGAACCTCCGCAGGGAGAACTTGCTGGCGTCTGAGAAGCGATGTCAGGTTTCACACGCGAGGAGTCCCAGCGGCTGTGAATGAGTCTTCTCTTACAGATCTTCAGGCTACTCCCGTTCTGTCTTCTCCCAGCTTTCTAGAATCTACCCAGGTGTAGTCCACCTGGTCCAGGTGAAAGTCCTTCGGCTCAGAGGAAGCCACACCTGAGGCATGAGTTGCCAGTAGGGGGGACCTTTGCAGCCCACCTTCACCAGGACCCTTGGATGGCCACCCTCCTGGGCCGCCCACACCGTTCTCTAGTAAATCAGTCCTGGACATGCTCCTCACTTCCTGGCACCACCCAGCCTTTCTCTCCGCTTTGGTTTCCTGGCCCCTCAGGAGCAGGAGCCTTTCTGACACTCAGCCTTCTTATAGTAGCCTGGGGAGGGGGGGACGGGGGGAACCACTGTGGCCAGGGTGGGTGAGAGGAGGGAAGGTGTAATTAATCACTAGTTTCTTCCCCAGAAATGCTAATCGGGGAAAAGCAATTAAAAGCAACTTTTTTTCCCTTAGTAATCTGTGTTAAGAGCTGGTAATGAAGTTTAGGGCCGTTGTGACTCAATATTTCAGCTTCACTGACTCAAGTCAAAACAGTCCAAGCCCAGGAGTTTGCTGGCAGCTGAGCTGGGCCCGGGAAGCAGCTGGGGGTCCCCGCGTTCCCTCTGCTCACCGTTGTCCCACCTCCGTCCCACCTCATGCTGCTTCCGGGGAGAGAAAGCAGCAGTTCCAGCTGAGGGGAGGGGAGGGTCTAGGTGCCATGGAGATGGGCACCCCAGGACATCCCTCAGGA